GTTCGAGGCACGTGGTTTTCACAAAGGTGAGAATGGATGAGAATGGCATGTCCAAATTGAGAAAGACAACCGTAGGCCTCGGATCGCGGTGCCGTGTGAGCCTTAGACATTTGCCCTGCTTGCTGTGCACTGTTGCTCCTGGATGAGGGAAGTTCGACAGGGAGCTGGCTTGCAGACGTAGAATTTGTGCTCATTCATCGAGGCGAGTGGAAAACAGGTCACTGGTGGTCTCCTTGCTGCTGCTTTGCGTTTGAATGGTCACATGGAGCTGCTTGAGGCCTACTGCCACTGTTTGGGCTTAACGCTTTTGTTGTGCAGCACCCGAAGCACACAGACCGGACCTAGATTGTTCAGGCCACTTTTAGATGTTGGTAGAGAACTCACACTGGTTCCGGAATATAGTGTCCAGTACATGCCACACTAGCCTATGCAACTCGAAAAAAGCTGCATGCCGCATGCAATGAACACAATGGATGAGAGTCTGCACCGCTCTTGTGCGACAGCTTTATTCAACATAGCGTGACCATTTCTCGTTTTCAGGCGCTTGTGGAAGAGTGCAACGTAGTGGTGATCTTAAGCACCGGCTTTCCTGTTTCTACTTGGAGTTCCTTGGCTTTTGATGAAGCCATTGACGCTTTGGCCTAGGGGCTGGACATGCTCACCTACCATGTCGCGGGAAGCAGCCGCTCCCCGGCTGGAGTGCACAAAGCTTCAAGTGAAACAAAACCTGGTACAGCATCAAGTGCCATGCTCGAAAGGCGCCCGAAGGCCCCAGCTGTTGTCAGTGTCCAGTAGGCTGGCTGCAAATAGGATAAATAGGTATGTCGCTGCTTGGTGTGCAAGCTAGCGGGACCAGTGTTTGCTTCAAAATGTATGCCTTTTTGACAACAGGTAGTTCTGTGAGACACGGGGATTAGATCTGATAGTGGTGTGTCTGTGTGACGCTTTTTGATTAGGGCCTTGCCCATGTTGACTCATCCTCGCTCCAACACATTGAGCCATAGGTTCTTGCAGCAGTTGAGTTTCTTGGCCCTCCGGCCTGTGAATACAATTTTTACAGCACGGCTAACGGTTAACTCCAATTCTACTATACTGTATCAGGAGCAAGGACGCTACTAGGGGCTCCTGGCCTTACTACTAGGAGCAAGAAGCTACTAGGAACAAAGGGCATCGCTACTAGGAGCAAGGACGCTATATTTAGTCGCTCTTTCGACACCTCACTTCCTTACTCAGGTTTGCTGTGGTCGGGACCAGTGATCCATGATGCCATTTGCGCCGGCAGTGTGGAGGCTGTCAGGCTGGATCCCTCAAAGGATAATTCACACACATGCATAATATATATAACTGTGTATATATATATACATACATACATTCACACATACATTCATACGCGTGTGTGTGGGTGTGCGTGTTAATGGCTGGCGCCATGTTTGTTAGAGGTTCCAAGCAAATCTGTTTGATCGTTAGTCCTTTCTGACCTTTGCAACCTCGCCTTCCTTTGAACAAGTCTTCCCACATCTCGTTGCAGGTACCTTCTGGACCAAAGCGTGGACCCTCGGGCTGGCAGCACTTTTGGCGATGCAGATGGAGCAACACCCCTGTGGCAGGCCCGAGGGTAGTGTGGGATGTCTATAACGTTCTGTTCCTTGCTCGAGGCAACTGACGCAGGAAGGACTTGCATGGCAAACACTATATAACTGGCTCGCCTCTTCACCTACCTTTTTACATGCGTCTCCAGGCCAGCTTCAATGGCTTTGACAGTATTGAACCTTGCTTGCACATGGCCTGAAGTTTGGCAGCTAAGGGCTTGTCGACTTCTGAAAAACGTGAATCAAACCAAAGACAAACAATAACTATATATATATATAGATCCCCACCACTGTTGAGACATTATTCGATTCTCCGGCTGAATTGTTTGATCCCCTTTCCTTGCATTGGAACGCGCAGGAGGGGTGGTCAGACAGGGTCAGACCAATGTAGCTTGATTTCCTTGGGACGACCGTCACCCCTGGGAGGGTTTGTCACCAAGGCGTGGTGTCAAAATGGCGGGGGACATTGGTGTAGAAAAACGTATGTGCAAAAGTGGAATGTCATGACGCTTGCTGTGAGCAAGCAGGACTATAATGAAGGTTTACATGTGTGAGTGTTTGAGATGACCTCAACATGTGGTCCCTGCAGTTGAGCTTTGAGGAATGGCTTGGGCTTGGGCATTGCAATTTGATGCATTGCATTTTCTTGTGCCCCTTCAGTAAGGGGTAAGAACATGTGAGGGGTTTTGTCGTAGAATTTGCTGCGTCAAGGTTTCTTTGCTCTTGGACCGCAGTGCTGCTTACGACATTGAGACTCCCTCCCCTTGGCAGGACCATCAGAAGGTTTGGCTTATTGGTGGGTTCCTGATTTGCAAACTTCAACTGGAAGAAATTGTTACTTTGCCCTAGGGTCTCGAGATGTTTGGGCGTCAGGACCGACCAGAACATCTCCTAACGCCTTTACACGTGGCTGCGCGGATGGGCCATGCACGCGTTGTGGAGGCGAGCTGATTGAACCCAAAATGTCAATCGGAAGCCCCCAATCATCCAATTGAAGCAACTTTCTTGGCCGTCCGGCAGTTGCTTGTTCATTTTGACTCTTGCTGCTTTACCAGGTTTTGATAGAGACCGGTGCCCAATACGTACTGTCCTTAACCTGGTGTCAAGTCTCTTTTTACAAATGATGTCAGCAAAGTTTTCTTCAACTGATGGGGCCTGGGTTGTTTCTTGTATCAAAAGTGTTTTTGATCACATAATTGACATAATTATTGTTTTGCAACGGTGCATTTTGCGTTTAGCCGCATGGAAACCCGTAAGGACACCAGGCGCTTGCTCCGGAATGGAGGTTCCTCACCCTTGCGAGATGCGTCTATCTCAGGAATGAAATGCGGATGCATTGAGAAGTACACCATGATCCAGCATGCACCGACAAGTGACAAGTACCAAGGCAATCCAAAGATGTCATGTCGAGGTGGTCAAGCTCCTCGTGTCCTAGCTGCAATCGAGTGAGATTGCTTTTGGAAGCTGCGAGTAGAGCTGACTTTTACAAACGACAATGGGCTTTTGCGATGGAAATTTGAATAAGTTTGCAGGCACAGACCCGTCAACTCCTGTTTCTAAGGAGCTCTGACACATTTGTACAGTTTCGCAGGGGGCTCACAGGTTTGTTCCTGGCGTGAGCCAACGAAGCTCCAGGTTCAGCCCAGGATATCGATCGACGTACGTGCAATTGTGTTTTCACCGAGGTGTTTTAAACAATACTGTTCAGGCTGACTTCTTCACCTTTCGACTGGGAGCAGGGCCTTTTCAGGTTTAGGCTCCAGCGCTCTAATCGGGTAATGCAGTAACTAGATCTAAAGTGCTAGCTTCACGAGGAAGTCGTAACTGACTTAGCCTTTGCGAGCATGGATGTAAGTGTGTATCGCAACAGGGTCCCACTGAGGTCTGTTGCGTGGACCCAGCTTTGGGCGCGTGTTGCACAGGCCCTCATGGGTGAACATTCACTGCCTATTCGGTTTGCTCGAGCACCACCGGCTCAGCTGCTTGCTCGAGATCGCTGACAATATGCCGCAGGGCCCACTAACAAACACCACGGAATGACATGCCAACTCATGCGTCTAGGTAATCATCCCCGTTCGTGCTGGGCGGATTTTTTCACCGACCATGTCCTTAAAAATAAATCCAGACCTTGAACTTTATCCACCACTATGTGTGGCTTTTAAAAGTCAGGGGGGGCGTCGCCATGAATTATCCAGGATACAGTCGCTAACATATCCTTTAGAAAGATCAAAGTTGTTATGATGTCAGGCTTTTTAGGTTGATGTTTAGGCTCGTTTCAGTCGATCCGCACTCCCGACCCCAACCCCCCCGCTTTCGTTTCTCTTTCTTGGCTTTTCTTCGAGTTAGAGGCTTTTCAGGTGCGTAACCAGGTTTCTTTAGTCAAGTGTTTGCCAGTTTTCCCCACGGTGCGCCGAAACGGCACTGTGTGCGTGCCAACTCCTGTTTCTAAGGAGCTCTGACACACTTGTACAGCTTCGCAGGGGGCTCACGGGTTTGTTCCTGGCGTGAGCCAACGAAGCTACAGGTTCAGCCCAGGATATCGAGAAGGGACGCTCTCTCGACGTACGTGCAATTGTGTTTTCACCGAGGTGTTTTAAACAATACTGTTCAGGCTGACTTCTTCATTTGTCCGCTGCGAACGGGGCCTTTTCAGTTTTAGGTTCCAGCGCTCTAATCGGGTAATGCAGTAGCTAGATCTAAAGTGCTAGCTTCACGTGGAAGCCATAAACTGATTTAGCTCTTTGCGAGCATGGATCTAAGTGTGTGTATGTGTGTTTTTGACCTGATTTGGCGAGTAGCAACTGCATTTGCACACGGGATCCTGTAGCAGTTGCTGTGGTGTTCTGGCACCAGACAAGGTTCAAAAGGATGCGACCGTGTCTCAGCGGCAAACAACGACTTGTTGGATTGGTTCACTTCAATAGCAATGGCCCTGACTGGCTGACCATACTTGCAAGATTACCTATACCAGCCCATAACAACAAATGCTGCTTGGTGCCAAGGCTTCTTGTGCCGCGACGCTACCTCTAGCAGAATCTAGCAGATTTTGCTTGGCATTGCATCTTAGGTACCAAGGAAAGCCCTATTCGAGTTCAACAACGAGGCAAGGATTTGTGCCACCAATGGCAATGTCGATGAGCCAGCGCCGGCGAGTTTCTTGCAGTGTTTCTTGGTTTTTCCTGGGGTCAAACTTCCAGAGCCAAGGCACTCACACAAGAGATCGTCAGAATGTTTTGTGTTTGGAAAGTTTGTTAAGCACCTGCAGGATTCTCAAGACTTGGTTTTAGTGTAAACTGATGACATGCATGTATTCCTTCATAGCCCCACAAAGGGGTGATTCTTATCGCTTAGCATGGGTGCGTCTAAAGATTCATATGAAAGACATACTGTAAGCAGGCAATTTTCAGCCAGAGAGAATCGGCCCGGGTGGGATTGCTTGTCGCCATGGCTGGATGCGCGCACACCAGGCCAAGGCGAAGGCCCGAAGGGTGTGGAGAGAGAGAGAGAGAGAAGACAGAAGAGAAGATGGAGAGATGTTGACGTTGGGGCCTCGGCAACCACCAAGAAACATCCACTTGTTGAACAAGAGCAACTTGTGGTCTTTGTAGGGCAACTATGCTGTGATAGGCACTTCAGCCAAAAGAAGCAGCAGAAGTGCTGCAGCGACATGTCAAGGCCTTGGTTGATGCCTGCATAAACTGTTGCTTAGACAATTAGACAATCGACCTTGAAAGTGCAGATTGAAGCGCTTCTGAGGCCAGGTCAGGAGAAACATCTACATGGTGTCTCTTGCTGCACGCTTGCAAGACGGGGGGTCATGGGGGATCGTGCGGTCGATCTTAGTTGGCGATGAGTCACGTAGTCTCCGTTGTTTTTCCTCAACTTGCAGTAGGGCCTTGTAGTTTGGCAAGCGAGGGAGGCTGGTTCAATGGTTTGTTATATGCATAGAGGGTACACAAGGGAGGCACAAAGCATACATGACTTCAATCATTTGCGGGAATATCACCTATTGTCGGCCATCCGCCTTGCTGTCAGGGCGCAGCTTTGTTCCGCAAGACTTCAGAGCAACACCATACACCACAACATTGCCATTAGCGCTGCTGAGATGCTCAGAACGCAGCTTGAGTGGGCGGAGACAGATTACTAGCCAAGTGACACAAGAGCCTTTGATCAGGAAAAATGTCCTGAACAGTCCTGCTTGGCTTGCTTTTGATCAATTGAAGGAAAGTTGGCGACTGGCGGCTTGCCAATTCCTTGCTGTGGTCCATTCTGGAGGTTGGGTGTAAATGTCTCATATGTTTTTTAAATAAGAGGCTAGAAGGGTCGGTTTGAGCATTACATTGGGGCTTTTGGCTGGCAAGAAAAGACTGGCCACCCAAGACAAAAGTTGAAGCAGAAGCACACAGCAGGTCGAGTTGGCACTGAGCAGGGTGAGACTCTTGTCAAGCATTTTGATACACAGCGGGGTGACCATTTTTGTATTACTCTTGGTGCGGGAGCCCTGAAGGCTTGCAAATCTGGCCTTTTTTCAGTGCAGCCTTATTTCAGCAACTTTTCGTGTTCCAACAGTGTAGCCTGAAAGCATTCCAGATTCGCTTTGGGGAAGTCACAGTCCGCTGTGCTCACGAGGCTTCAATACTGCGATCAGCGCCTGTGACAAATGCCGCCAGTGGCAAATGGCCATGGAACTTTTGCGCAGGATGTCAATATGTTCCAACACTGCTTTGTGCGACGTCCTTCCAGTCTGTCACAATCAGAAGCAGTTTTGGAAGTTCTTGTTGTCTTGGCAGCCTGCTTGCAGATGTCTTGTTTGACACTCTGGTCTCGGAAAATGCGGTGCAGGACACTCCAGCCGGACTCCATTAGCTTCTTTTGCGCCATGAGATCTGAACGTTGGTGGGACACGATGTGTCTCTTCCATGAGATGTTGATGACGAGGACCCCGGAAACAAGACGGCAAACAATGAACAGCCATGAAAGGACATACCTGCCATTTAAATGTGGATGTATCCACCACCGCTCATCGTATGCAAGGCTGCTCAGATGTTAGTTGGTCATGCAGCTGTTATTGCTGTGACACTTTGCACACTCGGCTTTGAATACAGCCTTGGGGTTGATGCTCACGTGTTCGGAGCCGCTGAAAATGCTGACTCAGGTAGGCTAGGACAACACATGTCCACAGATACTATGTAGCTGATCTCCGCCAGTCCCAACTTTTCTCAGTCGTGCTCGGGAAGTCACAAACAACCCATGGTACCAGCTGTCAGGGTGCAGCCAGACTGCACAACAAGCAACATGGTTCTAACTGCAGCTGCGGATGCGGTGAATTGGCAGCGTGGCATGGATTTAGTTGTTTTGACACTGTTTTCATCGATTCACTGCTGTTAAGGCGACTTTTGTTGCTCACACGTGACGAAGTCGGTATGAAACCTAAATCATCCAGACAACTTACAATCCACACGGAGCAGTGCGCAGCATTTGCACCTTGCAGACTCAGACTACTGAGCACGGCGCCTGCTGCAGGCAGCACGTCATGACACTCTTAGACACTGCAGTGGTCACTGCCGCAAATCTTGATGAGATCAGCTACTGGTTGACGAGGTTGAGGATATGCACAGTGCACGCGTTCTTCATGCAGAGCACCTGAGAGATTGATTGACAGTTCATGGAGCAAGTTCTACTCAGATTGAAGCTGGTTGAGGCTTTGCGATTGGAGCCAACGCCTTGGAGCGCAGCAAGCGTTGGCAGCATTCTTTGCAGCTCCACCGCAGCAACGCGAATAGCCAACACTTGAGAGCTTTGGTCAGTGCATGTGCAGAGGCGGAACAAGAGAGAAGGTCCTGGGACGAGACATTTCGTCTTGAAACGCACAGGCGAAGGCCTGGCAACGTGCTATTGGCATGTTCGGCCTTTTGGAGGCTTGAGACCGAGCACAAAGAAGCATGGGGGACTATAAACACTTTTCAATTGTAACATGCAATTGTAAGATCTTGACGCAGGGGCCACAGGGGCTGCAGCTGAACATTTTTCACTGCAGTGCATTTGTGACGGCTCTTCAGCAGAATTGGCAAGGCAGGGCCACTGGAGAGTTTAAACATTGCAGCCAAGCCTCGTTGGTTGTCATGTCAAAGCACCCAAAATGCTTTGCTATAAGAGCTCAATTTTGGTCAGGTGCTGCAGCCTTGGTTCAGCGGATGGGCTTCCTGGGCATCTCTCAGATTCTTGGACTGTAAGCTCTTTGATCCAAAGCTTGAGCTTTCGGATGTTTCAACCGCCGATATGTATATTTAGATATGCCACAGGAACGTCTTCAGCTGCGGTGCAATGATGGAAGCATGCACTGCAAGTGCATGGCAGCTTTCACTGTCCACCTTAAAGTGGATGTTGGACACTGAGAGCTCAATTTGTTCAAACATTCGGCTTCATAACTAGACCTGCTGGCATCACATCAAATGAAAAAACTCAGTGTATGGACTCGCTTCTTCAGGCTTAAGACCCGCCTCTCGCCTGATGAGTTTGGAGCTGACACTCGCCTTGCAGCCTCCAGAAGGGCAGGTTGGCAAAGTGCCATGGTGGCCCGAGGGCCAAGACTCAAAGACGGGAAATAAAGACTGTTGCAGCCAGACAAGAAGTCAAAGTCAAAGCATCAGTGTGGTTAAACCAGTTTTTGCATGTGAGATCGCTGTTTGACCTCGGTGACATGTTTTCACATTGGATTTGTGCCGGTGTCATCGATGTGCAACCTTCGAGCTTGCTCAGAAAACTGCCTTTTTGTGCCACATTGCATTGCGAAGGGGTGAGCTTTTTTGGTCCTTTTTGGTGTGTGCTTCTTGCATTACAATTCTACTGCATAATTAATCAAACCATACCCTTTAGAAATGCAACCATCAAGAATGGTGGCAAAGCATGTTGTGGCCCCGTTGCAATACCAGAGTCACCTCCGTTGCAACACCAGGGTCATTGACAGCTTTGCCTCTAATTCTTTGTAGGGTGTTTTCCCGTGTTGTTGACAAGCGTTTCCAGGCCTTGACAATCAACGCCTCGACGTTGAACATTGCTTTGGCCGCACAACTGCAAGTGTGCAGCACAATATTGCCGATAAACATTGTTATCTTCAAGTTGTTTGGCCGCCCGTTCAATTGTTTCCAGCAGCACCTTCCTTCAATAATTTTGTCGCTGTTGTTGAAGGTTGCGCGCGCAAAAAAATATACAAATCTGTGTTTGCATCCGTTAGGAATCCATGCCATAGTTCCTACTGCTCACACAGCAGTCTTGATGGTGATGGAGAGAGAGAGAGTGAGTGAGTGAGTGAGTGAGTGAGTTCCTCCTGCATACACCGACTCTTCCATCCTAAGCAGACCTCCCTTCCACTGAGGGCAATGTCGGCCTGGGTTTGTCGCTGACCACTCTGGAGAAGGCATTCTCTCACTGGGGACCGGGGACAGCACTTTTGCTACTAACGAAATGCCATGCGAGAATGATTGTGGAAACATGTGTTCCGTGTTCAATTATTCAATTGCTGTCCTTTGCATATGGTCATATGGGTGTCGCTCTCCAGAATTGATGCCTGAGCTGAGCAGGCAGTGCAATGGCTCCATGCTTTGGATTTGCTGGACACATTTGCGCGAAAGGCGCTTCGATACAATGTGTGGGCCTTTGAATCTGAACCAAGTATGTAGCAGGATGAGGAGCAGACAAAGACAGAGAACTGAAAAGCCCTTGATGATTGAAATTCACACTGCCTACGGAATCAGCACACTGCTTTACTGCTGCTTTTGTTTGCTCACCTTGGTTTTTTGGCCTCCACAGTGAGTACTTCGAGCTGAGGTGATCAACACAAATTCCTTGATCAGTTGCTTGGAGAAAGTGGGCTACTGGCGACAAGCCTTGCCATTGTTGTTCCGCATGGGGCAGGCGTGGTGCTAAAGTTGCTGAAGCAGAATGATGCGTTCTTTTGCATGTAAAAACACATGGCAGAAGCAATACTATATAATTCTAATTTAATTCTAATAGCAAACATTGTTACTACTAGTAAGGCACTTGTTACTACTAGCGATGCACCTGTTACTAGTAGCGAAAAAACACCCTTGGGCCTTTCAGACTCGACACCGATTTCCGAAAGGTCAACCTCCTTCCAGACACAGTCAGCTGCAGTGCCACTGTTTCTGCTTGCGAGGAACAAGGCAGGCTACAAAATGAAAGATACATCATGAAAGAGAGAGAAAGAGGGAGACTAGCAGCTAGCAGTAAGCTAAGCCTTTCAGAAGTTTTAGATTTCAGATGAAGGGATCGTGTCCATACCCACTTAGTGACAAGTGTGTGTGTGTGATGTGTCTCGTGTTTTCATGGCTGCCCATGTCCCCAGGGCGCTGGCGGGAGGCTGCGCATTTGTCCTCAAAACAGGTGCAACCGAGATCCGATGATTGATGAGTGATGAGAAGACACAGGAGTACATGCACGAGTGTGAGTGAAGAACATGTTTGCATATACACGCCCTCCATTATGATTGAATAAAAGTGTTACAGTGAGTGCCGATCCACACTCTTTGTTGAGTCTTATATAGATTCATGTGCTTCACCTTTTGCAATTAATCTTGTGAGATTTTGTGATACCCCAACACTCCCCAACATGCTTGGTGCCTCTTTCCACCTTGCAGAGTTTTGTGCGTATCTCAGGGCAACTCATTGATGGTGTTTGCTGGTGCAGTCAGTGCAAGTGAGAAGGCTTTGCGGTGGCCACGAGCATTGCAGGTTCTGTCGATGCCCGGGTCTCAAGTGCCTGTCGGAGATCCACCGTTTGAAGGTTTGATGCTAGATCTTGGAATCGTTTCAGCTGTGAACCAGAAAGTATAATGTCATTATTTTTTGAAGCTGAATAAGCGCGTGCATTCCTGTCCTGAGGATGCCACAGCTCCGTTTAACAGCAGACCTGGTGACTTTCAACGCGACTTTGCGGGCCTTGGAACGGGGCCTTTGCTGGCAAATGGTTCTGGAGGTCTTTGAGGACATGCCGAAGGCACGCAGTATCACGCCACTTGCCGAGACAAACAGCGAAACCGCACATGAAGTGTTCACTAGGGTGATCACTCAGTCGGAGTCATTTTGAGGCTGCTACGTGCGCCTCCGATCACTGTGTTTCTCCCTGGGCGGTCCTTTTTTAATAATTCATTGATTCATTGTTCTATTTGTTCCGATGGATTGTTGGTTTTTCTTTGGGAGCTTGCAGGTCAATGCGCTTTGTTAGTTGGACGCCTGTGGAAGTTGCAGTGGTCAAAGGGTCCGCACTTTCTGCTTTTGGTCAGGAGGGCGTTGTGCCAGACGTTGTTGCACACAACAGTGCTTGCCTGGCAAGCGAAAATTCTCCAGATTGTAGAGCAACCCTCCTTCTGATGCAAGAACCTTGGAGGCAGTAAGAGAGCGGCCAGACCGCAGCGTGCCAAGTTCTAGAGGTTTTTTACTTTGACCGATCGCTTCGCACTACCGTGTTTATAAGTTGGCACTGGAAAGCTGACGGACTTTGCAGGGATTGTTGGATGTGATGATGGTCAATGGGATGAAAAGTAATTCTAATCCAAGGCGGCTGAGAGTCATGCAGTTTCATCACTGGTGCCACCGAGAATGCGCAAAATGGTTCTGGCTTATTCAGAATTGTTTTGTCGGCACATGGGCGGCACGCAGCTCATTTTTGAGCAATGCTTGCTTTGCCTCCCTCAAGTGCGGCGTGACCATTTTTGACTGAACAGAATATGGACTTGTGGACACATGTGACGTGACAAGCGCACCGCTGTTTTGTCAGCCATGTCCAAAACATGGACTGGAAAGCCATTCTAATCTCACAGGATCACGTAGATCTATCATAGAACGCGGCAGGCAAGTCGTTGCAACGTTCCTTTGCCATGAGGGTGCAGCTGCATCCTGGCAGTACACGCAACGATGTGGCCGTGGCTGTGAGCTCGCTGCTGCCCGAGTGGCAGCGACAGCCCAAGCAACTTGACAGAGTCATCCTGTTCATGTGCTTCTGCTGGATGTCTTGAATAAGCCTAGGCAGGGCAGGTAATTACTCGTGATTAGACTTAAGCATAGTCTTGGACACTGAGTCAGGGTAGTGGAAGGTCAGTGGAGTAGTCAGTTTAAGGTTTGCGATGCGGACGCTGAAGAACCTGTCGCAGGCACAACCAGCTTTGATCACGCAGAATGTAGATGTGATTAATTCCCAGACTGTCCAAGCTAATTCGACAACCCCGTGGCCGAAAGGGCACTCATGTTTGAATTGCTCTTTGTGATTCCGCTGGACACATGCTCCTTATGCTTTGCTTATGCTTGCTCTCATGTTTACATGTTTTCACGATACCAGGCATAAGGTGCGGAGCCGAGGCGAAGCTTCCTGGTGCTGCTTGGCATGTCCTACAGATCATGGAGGAGGCGTCCATCGAAACCAACGTGTGCCTTGTTCAGACACTATGTTTTGAGTGCTGCTGACAACCGAAAGTGAGATCTTGCGAATATCGTAGTTCAAGAGAAATGCAAGAGGTTCCACTACAGCGCCGCTATCAACGCTTGCGAAAAAGCAGGGGAATGGATGCTGGCACTCGCAGTTGTGGTAGGCATGCAAGAGAAAGAAGTGATGCCAAATACAGTCACCATGAATTCTGCAATCAGTGCATGTGAAAAGGCAGAGGAGTGGACTTGGGCCTTGCACTTTCTGGATGCGATGCCAGGGACAAGCCTTACCCGAGACGTGATCAGCTATACGAGCACCATGAATGCGTGTGCAAAAGCCTTCCTATGGGAAACCGCGCTCCAACTGTTCGACTCCATGTCTTTGGAAGCGGTTGTCCCAAACACGAGAACTTACAATGGAGCAATTTCGGCCTTTGCTCAAGCTGGGAGATGGCGACCAGCTCTTCAAATGCTGGATGTGATGGCTTCACGAGCACTGAAACCAAACACCTTCAGCTACAATGCTGCACTCAATGCGTGTGACAAAGGAGGGCAGTGGCAATGGGCTATTCACCTCCTGTTCTACATGCAACAGCACAAGGTGCCGCTTGACCACGTATCCTATTGCACTGCCATGACAGCCCTGGCACGTGATGGCCATTGGATGGAGGACCGGTGCGGGGGCAACCAAGTTGTTGAAATGCAATCAGACCAGGATCATCATTGAAAGATCAAGGTGTTTTTCAGTGCTATTCATATTCATTTGGGACAAATGAAGTCATGTTTGCTTCATCTCAAGCTGTTCAGGCGATACTGTTGCTTGGCACGATGCCACGGCCCACAGCAGCAGCCTTCACTGCAGTCATCTCTTCTTGCGAACGAAGCAGCCAGTGGCAGGCATTTTTTACAGGATGCATGAGTTGATCGTGCCACAAACACCCATATATTAATATGCATATTATCATATTGTATAACTGTATATTCTAGATATGCAAATATTATATATTATAAAAGGCGGGAAGGGGCAGGGAAATATGCAAATGTGGAATGTTGATGAATCATTTCCATTTCATGTACTGTACTCTCTTGTGTCGTGTGCTTTGAACCTTGTATGGTAGGCATGCATGAACTACAGTATATAATTATAATATTACATTGTCAATGGTACTTGCCTGAAACAGGCACATAGGCACACACTTATAGAAATGCGTACTGACTTGACAACGGTGCCACACGCCAGCCTAAGAAACCAAATCCTGGAAAAACCAGGTAAGGGGGGGCCTGAGCGCCTTTAGCTAAAGGCCAAAGGCCAAAGTTCCAAAACCACGAGGCGACGAACAGGTCGAAGTGACGGCGGTCGCTCTTGTCTGCGGAGTCCATTAGACCTTTACGGAAATTTAAAAAGTTGAAAGTTTAAGCAGGTACAAGTGGTTGATCAGACCACTCATCCACCGAAATGCCACAGCTTCGTTTGACTGGATAGGCAAATCGGCTCCAGTCCCCCTGCTATCAAACAAGGTAAAAAGTCAGGCAGAACATTCCGAAAGGATCCCTGTGATTTCAAGGGTCACACACACACACCAGCCACTTAGTGCATTGGTGCTTTTCACCTTCGTCTCACTCTGTCATCATCCCTCGCTCTCCCGGACTCCCTCCTTTTGGGGTGTGCACTGCCACGTCAGGGGAATGAAACAAAAGGGAAATGTAAATCATCAAAGCGTCATTAGAGTGCTACAAACGCTCTGGTTTTGGTGGTTCCTGGTTTCGCCAAATCCTCCACAGTCAGTCCGATTCTGCGAAGTTCGTGTTCCCAATGTCCTGTGTTCACCCGAAGCACCCCACAACCCTAAGCATCCTAAGCAAAATAGAGCATGCAACTGCAAACCTGAGACCATACTAACAGTATGGCTCCAAGCCACATCAAAACCCAGGCTTGGCCCACCCAGCCTTTTCTCACTTATCGCGTGATCCATTTCTTCCAATGTAGTTCAAGAGTCATGACCGAAGGTGAGGTGAGTCTAGATGTGACCTGTAAGTTATTTTTTGCATTGCAGCTCTATCTCGGCTGAATTGCTATGGGTGAGTCTATTGTGAAGTTGCTGCAAGTTTGATGCACACTCGTCACACCTGAAGGTGGCCCTAGATGTGTTGTTCTCAGATGGCACCTCAGCAGCACAGCTGGCCGGAAGCCTGTCATGTGAATAGTATGCGAATGCTCCAAGTGGTCCTTGGATGCCCTTGGCTGTTTAAAGCTGTTTGTCGACTCACAAGGACACGCCCATTTGATGCCGTACAATGCTGCTGCCAGCGCCTGTGAAAAGGGTTTCTTGACTGATTGTAATCTGAACGTTTCAAATATGTTTCAATCACCTTTTTAGGATCAAGTAAACAGGAGATTGAAACACTGAGTGTGGATTTGTGCGGCCACTCAAGAACTCTCTTGCCGTTGCCCCATGCATCCAGGAACACAGTGGCCGATGGCGCTGCATTTGTTCGCTTCTGCGCATACAAGAACTTTGCGGGCGGACTTTTGGGCAAACTACAGAAAAAACAGATTGTCACCCTATGAAACGGATTCGAACGTGTTTTTCCGTTCAGGCCTCCTTCCCGCATGTCCTGAAATATTGGCTTGGCTCGTGAGCACTTGTTTTGTCCAATTTGATTTTGACTACGAAACTGAGGATGTTGGCACTCTGAATTCTGTGATGGTTGCATGTGAGAAGGGGAGCGAGTGGGAGAGGGCCTTAACAGCCTTGCAGCTTTTGCCACTGGAGGCTGTTGACACGACTCAAATTGGCAAATAATGAAGGTAAAACAAGTATTATCTATATAGGTCCTAGGCTTTTGGAAAGGGTACACCTTGCATGCAGTGCTTGAACCCCCCTGTCCCCCAATCAGACATGCAGCGCCGCGCCTTCGTCAATTTCCCTGCGTCAAAAGGAGGCAGATGTCTTCGTTCTCACCACCGCCCTCAGTGCCATGAGTCGTTCAGGTTCCCTTTGGGAGGGTGCTTTGGAACTACTATCGCAGGCTCGCAGCCTGACCATCCCTCCCAATGCCAAGAGCTTTGGCGCCGCACTGAGTGCATGCAAAGAACACTGGGAAGCATCACTTGCACTTCTGGAAAGCATGCAAAAAGTTGAGGCGGGAAATGTTTGGAAGCCAACATTGACCACAGCATTGATAATATCTTGGCCTTGACCAAGATACCAAGACAGACAGATTCCTACTTTTTCCGGAGACTTGGGACCGACAGGTGGAGCCTGGGGCACCTCATATTGGCGTCGTGGCTAGAGCACTGAAGGGCTGCGACGTGGAGGGGTTTCTGGAGGTCTTCCGCCGCAAATGGGCGAAGAGGGCGAAGCAACAAGATCCAAAATTGGAAGGCACACATTTCTATGAGCAAATTGCAACCTTTGGCAATCTCATGCTGGTTCCTGTGCTGTCGTTAAGGCATTGCCTTGTAGTTTTGCCTCGTCGTCAGGCTCTTCAAGCACTTTGTTGGGTGTCCGACATGGAGTGATTGGAACTAACAAGCCCCCTGACATGGAAACAGAGGTGGTGGGCTCAGTCTGAATTGCACCTTTTGTGCCGTAATGCGTCACAATCTATATAGTTGTTAATTATTCGTTGCATATGCTATTTTGCGTAATGGGTTGTGCCGATTCTTACGAGATGATTTGACCACTGCTTGACAACTTGTCAAAAGCTCAAGCTGAAGTCAAACATTGATCTCTGATTTCCGGCTCACGAATCTTCACGAGTTATATGTTCTGTTCATGTCTTCTCTGTTCAGGCTTTTGTCGCACAACTTTCGAGGGAATTGGGCTTCTCACTTTACACTGCTTCACGCCTGGATTACCCAACCTCTGGAGCATTGCCCGTGGCCTTTGGAGAGGGCTCGGTCACAAACTCAGTACCCGATCAAGTCTGTTTCAAAGCTTGAGAGGCCATTTTTGCAGCTCATTTTAGCCCAGTGAGGTGGACTGGCTGGAGGTGCAGTTTGCCGCCCGTTCAGTGGAAAAAGAGTATTTGTGCGTTTGTGAAGGTCCGCCTTTGGATTCTGGAGTTGTGGAGTTGCCCCTTTTTACAGACAGGTATGAGAGGGGTGGTGCGCGAACGGTCGTGTGCACCAAGCGCGGACTGCCTGCGCGAACTGACTATGAAGTGATCTCCAAAGTGACCGCAGAAAGATCCAATGAATCCAATGTCTCTGGGAATGAGATAATGTTGGTGAAGGTGAAGCCGCTCACAGGACGGACACATCAAATTCGTGTGCACATGGCAAGCTTGGGGAGGCCAATACTTGGAGATATGACGTACGGTCAAAAAGAGCGTTCGTTGATCCCAATGCGGCGGTTGTTCCTCCATTGCAAGAAGGTTGTGGTGAGAGATTTGGCAGGAGAGGTGTTCACCATTGAAGCCTCCCTGCCCAAGGATTTGCAACAAATCCTTCAATCAATCTCCCTGTGTTTTTCCGACTAGCGGCAGACCGCTAGAATTTGTTGGAAAGCTGGATGGGCTGGTCAATCGAATGCAGACGCAAAGTGCTGGCAAAAGTTGGCATGTCAAAGCCAAGCAATGATGAAGCTGCCTGAAGTTAGAGTGGTAGTCCTTTGGTGCAGGTTTTGTCAGGTTCATTTCTAAACTGGAAACTGGTAGAGTCGATGAGACTATCCTCGTGTGCTTAGACTGTTGAATCATATTGAATATCAAGAATCTCAAGTCGAGTACTGTATTGGAAGTTGACCGACAGACAGCCGTCAGCAGGTCACCATTGCTGCTGTAGCGGAAGGTCTAACGCAAGCATCCAAGCAGGTGCACTTGGTTGTGTCGAATTTTTGAACGACGTTGAACGGATTCAAGTCTTCAAGCTTGTTCTACAGTATAGATTGCTAGGGCAGAAGTTCGATAAAAGTCTTAGCCCTATGTCAATATGTTTTAGATTGTTTTGGTAGAGTTGGGGATGCCTCCCCCACAGCTGAAAGCTTTTGGTGGGGGTCCTTCCTTTCGAACCAGGCCCTGATCGCAGCCACGGGCCATGTTGGAACATGCTGGAACCTGTATAATCCTGTGACTCTGAAACCCTTTGATCGAACCGCGAACCCTTCGATTGGCCAGACTCAGGTGGTCCGAAATCAATCAATAAGTATATAAATCGCAACTGCTCGCCTGGAACCAAAGCAGTCGTTCTGCTTGGCTTTGCTTATTGGATCCAGACGGCCTCGTGAGCTTTCTTATCACAAGTGTCCTTTGGTGTCTATGCTTGTGTGATTTCTTGCAGTGCTTGTCGCTTGAGTTTAGATTTCAGTGTGAAACAGCCTGGGGAGGCAGTGAAGGGCTGCTTACTGCCGGTGGCGCTTCAGCCGAGAGTTGCAATTCTCTTATTTTACATCCATAAGGAAGCATGAGACTGTGGGCCTTCACTACTCTGCCTTGCTAAACGATCCAAGGTTGAGTTTAGTTTCTCGAAGCCCGATAACAACAATTTTGCAAGGACTCTTGCGCCTTCACTGCCAACTTAGGAGTGGCTGGGGATGTTCCTGAGGACCCCTGGGCATGCTCCAGCCGAGATCCCAGCTTCACGTCCTGAGAAATCTTCAACTGTCCATCATATATACAATATAATATAATGCAACCATATGCCAGCGATGTCAGCAGCTTGGCTGAAACGTGCAGGGCGAGGGATGCCACATAGCACAAAATGCATGCACAGTTGAATGCCCAGGCGCACATTCTCAATGCGATTTTTCAAAGCCATTCGCTGAAGTATTTCGACTTCGAGAACCAGCGGCAGGACGCCCACAGCTTAAAGCATGCAAAGCCTTTGGCTGACAGGGTTTATCAGCTGATAGATTTCGGATTCTGATGGAACTGTTTTTTTTCTTGGATAAGTGTGGATCAACTTTGTACTGCCGAGGCGAACATGGCCCACTTCGAGAACAGCTCTTACTTGAATGTCAAGGAAGGTATGCCATTCGAGGAGACAGTGAGTCGTCACCAGTATGCCACACGGATTTCGCGGGGCCAATTCAACAAAACCTGGAAGCGTTGAATCAGGCTAAGCTAGAGCTCGTGCAGGGCATTGCAGGGCAACAACAACTTCAGGTCGTCATTTTCCAACAAGCATGAAGTATCGGTCAAGTCCGCTACACTTGCCCATTTTTGATGCGCAGCATTGTTGTGCTTCCAGAATAGAACTCCTGAAGGAGTTTAACGACTACTTCGTGAGCAGACAGCAGATAGGCAGATTCATGATATATGATGTGCAAATGCCCTAGGCCCATAGGATCTCCCAACCCCAGGCTGCATGCTAGCCATGTTTCCGCGAGTTTAACAGCTAAGAACTGCATTTGATAATTTTTGTCAGGCACAATGACACGGTTGCACAACCTCCACTCCAGAAGCCCACGCAATACTCCGTTCAGGTAACGAAGGAGTGCGACTCTTGCGCGGCTTGGGAGTTGATTTTTCACGCAGGAGAGATGTGCGAGTGACGGAACTTCTGCGGTCATCACAGCCAAACGTAGAAAAGTATTATGTGGCCCAGTTTGATTTACCTAAAAGCTTGAACTGCAGGAGTCAAAGGGCAGACCCTTCGCAAGATGAGGCACGCACAAGCACACAACAGAATTACTTCGCTTTGAACGGCTTGAAAGGAGGTCAAAGCTTCCAAACTTCTTGTGAGTCCTTGTTTTCCTCCCTTCCTGCTTCTCAGATTTTTTCCAGGTGGAGCACTACGAATGGGACTACGCCACTGGTGCTC